GACAAATTTCGCGCGTCATGATTGGCCAACGCATTACAAACTCTCGGTGGCGCACTATTGTGAATCGCCCGTATTGGAGCGTAAGTTGGGTGAAATTGGGGGATGGGGTGTTCCGTGTTGAAGGCGGCCTACATATATTTTTGCAAGGAGTAGGCCTGCTGAATGAAAATAAGCTGTGTATTCTGGCAAGTTACACCAAGAGTTTCCAATGGAGGAACCATAGTATCAGATGACGTCCACCCTCCGAATCCACGATCACCTATCCACCGCACGGAATGTTGAATTCACGGCCATTGAATGTGCTTCCCCGCAGACCCCATCCAGCCCCTTTCAGCTCCATCCTCCGTTATACCAGAGTTTCCATTCCTCATCATTAAATTTCTTTATTGCCTTCCTTATCGCCAAATTGAATTTCCTTATTTTGTCCTTCAACAATGTGCATTTGAATTCACTCTTTTTTTTTTCACAAAATGAATAGTTCTTATAGCGTCGCTTCAGACTGTCGGACATTCAAATAGTAAAATAAGGCATGTCGAAGTAGCACGCGCGCAGTGATCGCGACGCCGACCCTCTAGCCTACAATAGGCTAAGACCACTGAGGCCTCAACTAACGAATCATGACAATCCCACTGATAGCAGACTTGGCCTACTGGTAACCTATCTTCGGATCTCTTTCCGACGGTAACCAGTCAAACAGCCCCGCGAACACTGTTGTGAAAAGTGGGTTTGGGATAGGAACTTTAGCAGAGTATCCAAGGACGAGAAGCCGCGTATAAAATACGTTTCGTACACCCAATTCCCGTTCCGAACTTGCCATTTTGTTATTGGAACTGATATCTAGTTTTTCATGATTTTTATTTTAAGTATTCTTGAAATTTCTGTAAAATTACCTTCAGAATTTGGACTTTCATATGCATTAAATTGTTCATTTACTCAGATTTTTCTTAGGACGTGAAAAAGTTCTGAAAATTAGGGTAGCTACAATCAATGTTTTTGATTACAAATCTGTAAATTGCACCTTTTTGCCTCAGTAACCATTATTTTCAACTTTCATTATTTCAAAGGATATTTTAACATCATGTTGGTTTGTATGCTAATGAATTTCCATATTTATGAGCAAAACTGTGATGTCATCTCAGGAAGAAGCCTCAATATGACATAGATTTGTACTCAAAAAAGTCCTGCATTTTGTAGAGTTTCCTGGACTAAGTTTTCTCTTCCTTGCTGATTCATTGCTGTTTATGTCCATAGCAATGAGAAACCATTAATCCCTCTTTCAGAAATGTTATCAGTTGGTGAATTCTGGGTTCACAATTTAACAGAAATACATGTACACCTATGCACTGAACCGTGTCTTCCCTAAATGACTTCAGAGCAACAGCGCCCTCAGTTGCCCGGCAAAAACATTGACGATTTTATTGTTTTAAAGTGTGCACTTTTCAATACATTTAACCAAATAAGAGTGTGGAAGAGTTTTCATATATTGAGGGAAAAGCACAAAGATGCAGAAAAATTGTGTCGAAGAAAAATTCATTGCAGCTACACTTTTAAAAATGGAAACGCTGCTGCCCGTTACACAACTTGATGCGCCGTGGTGCCATTCTCCCGGCCAGCAGGTGGGACCCCGCATGCTCTGCTTCCAAGCCCCACGTTCATTTTTTGCCTATACATGTACTTCAGAAAATTTAGGTTCAGTGGAAGAAATGCTGTCTTTTTAAAGCGAACTTTCAGACAAATTCTTTTGAAAAAGGGGGCAGATTTAGATGTCAGGTTGTAGTGTACTAATTTCTGCTGAGCTCATTGGCGTAAAAAAGCATCATGCCCCCCAAACACAATTTCTTCGGAAAAGGTGATTATTTGGCCGAAAAAATGGAGAGATTGTGGAAATAGCTTATAGAGATAGGATCAACCCCCTTGTAGGCTGTTCTACATTTGAAAAAACGGCTGCGACCTGGCTGGGGAACAATCCCTTTTTGAGCAGTGTTAGTTTTTGTGTGAATGATTGCTTATGGCTACCAATAATTGACAAGAATTGAAAGACTAAGGACAAGACAATAATCTAAACTTTGTTTGAGAAACTCCAGTAATGTCTGCTGCATGTTATTGTCGTTTGAGTCACAAAATTGATGATTTTGGGGCTTGAAGTATTAGTTCACTGCACCCTAGCCCTGCTAGGCCAGGCCATCAGTCCGCGGTCCGTTTGCGATTTGCCGGCGGTAGGAAAAGTTTAGTCGGGCGCCAAGAGGGCGCCCGCAAAGTGCATGGCTCATTTTTAACTGGTGCTTTGCACGTGCTTGACACACCAATGAGGCTCTTGGGAACCAGTTCAACTCCCTCTTTTTATCCACCACTCGCAAAGATGGTATGGACCGTAACAGCTCATGAAAATTTAGCTGAATTTTTTCGTACATTACATGTAGATTTGGCTCCTGAGGAATCGGAAATTCCCTTATTTAATAGTTTTCACGGTTAACAAAACATTTCTTTTCTGTTTACCTATCATATGAATAACATTTTTACCGCTACAAAATTACCAACACCATACGATTTTGATTCACGTGCGGTGTTGAACATGATGAAGGCAAAGAAACGTATTTCCGACACTACGCTGAGGGCGCTACTACCTGTCATGCATGATGGGTTAGCAATAGCACTTGAATAATCTCATGTAAGACCTTCAAACCCTCCCGATTTCATGGAAAATATCCGCTTTTTCACTTCGTCTCTGTCATTCTGATTTCGCCCCTAAAATTTCTGCCAAATTGCAATTTTGACAAGTCTATGTATTACGGGTAACTGACCACGCTGACCATGTAATCTTTTGCATGTACTGTAATACAACTTATCGAACTAGCTCTACCGAGTGGAGTGGTAGTATTCCTCTTTTTCAAATTTTGGACTGGACCAGTCCACAACACATGTAGTAAAGTGATGACGGTTCCCCAAAATTCCAAATATTGACTAAAAATACCTTTATCACCTCCTACTGGCTTCCTTAAATACTGAATTCAAACGATTGGGGCTTCAATGATATTTTGTACTTCGAAATCTGTCAAAATCCAGCTATTTTCGCTCGACACATGCACAGCACTTAAACTTTCTGACGCGTCCTCCCATTCAAATAAGCGTGCCTGGATTTTGCTGACACAATATGTCTATGGACGAACATGGTCCTCCAAGACACACGCATGGGTGGCCTATACATTGTCTTGGCACAAGACTTGTTGATCGTGAAACAGTCATTGGTAGAACTCCCAACGATCAGATCGGCTGATGTTCGACAACATTGGCCTGATCTGATGTCCGATCCGATCATCCGTTGATCCCTAACGCGTGGTACTGTACATCATCATGGACATGGATTAGACTCCAGTACAATGCATCATTGATTTTTACTTGTTCATGGTAATGTGGAAAATATTCTGATTTTTCATGAAAAATCCTGAATTTGGGGAGAAAGATTCCAAATTCTTGATTGCCAATTTTTGGAGGTCTGCCATGTCAAGGCTATAAATAACCCTGTATCATTGGGTCTACTCCAGTACATGGAAACAAAATCTGTAGAGAGTCTCAGACCCACTAACTGGTATGACCAAGACTGGGGAGTTAGTTGAAACTCTTTATTTTGTTTGAAGTCTGGACTTGATCGGTCACACTATCACCCCAACGGGAGTAATTACAAAAACTTGAATTCTCAGTTCAAAAGTTGCCAGAATCATGCCAAATAGTGAAACATTTTACAAAAGTATTTTTGACAGCCCTTTAATGTTAAGGATGAACTGTGGGCTTCACTGGCACTCTGACATTGAATGGGCTGCAAATCCGTGAAAGTTTGACCAGTCTGCATGCACCTGTCCAGGCAAAATTTCTCTCTTCATGCAATAGCACTAGTAGATTTTGAGCCACAGCAACTGTGGGTGCAGATATGAGCATGTGCGCTAAGACACGGGACACGACAATGTTGTGGACTGGAGCTTAACCACTGGTGGATGCCCTGGTCTACGTATACAGTTTGTAGGGAGACATCCGTGTCAAATTACCCCATCTTTGAGAAGATAGGAACAAGATAGTGATGTCACAATGTCTACAGAGTTTCACATCCATTTTTTGTGTGTGTGCACTGCGCAGACTTGCAAGCGACGCAACAACGGACGCAACAAGAAGGGCCGTGGCCACGTGCGGCCCGTGCGCTGCACCAACTGTGCCCGCTGCGTGCCCAAGGACAAGGCCATCAAGAAGTTTGTCATCAGGAACATTGTGGAGGCCGCGGCTGTCCGTGACATCCAGGATGCCAGTGTTTATGAAGGTAAAGCCAATACTTTTATAAGCTTACTGAATTACAGTTTAAGAAATGAGAAATAGAAGATCGCGCAAAATGTTAGGGGCATTGATAAGCGTGGAAATACGTGTGCACTGCTACCTGCTTGTGATGTTCTGTGGCACACTGTGTCGTCAAGTCTGGAATGTGTTTTATGAAGAAAGGGCCCAATGCCCAAATAAAAAAAATCCATATAGAACTGGATTTTATGTCACTAGCCAGACCCTGTCCAATGGAATTAGCCAGTAAACCTACATTGAAAAATAACTCATTGAAGAAGCCTGCTATTGTCTCCTGTTGAAGTCATCTCCTGGCTGGGTTCCCACTTTTATACTTGTATGCTGAAGTGCTGCAATTCGATAAAAGTTTCCTCTGTCATGCTCACATTCACTCCTCAACCCTGACTATGCTTAGGGAGTACCTTAAAAAAAATGGAACAGTCTGAACGTTCCATTTGGCAAACTAGCCATGCTGCTGAGCACACTCCATGGTCCCAGCAGATTGCTAGGTGTTCCACTGGAACGGCTGCCATTTCCTTACTCTTTCGAGCACATATGCACGGTGAAACGTTCTGTTTGGAAGGTCCATGGTGATGGTCTGCAGGAGCGAGCCTGTTCGCCGAAGTGTAAATTTTGACAATTTCCAACCATAAACTTCATTTTGACATCAGCTGACATAGTAGTGTAGTAGTGTACCCACAACATACCTACCACCCATTGCGATTTAATTGGAATCGCTCCTGATATTTAAGTTCCAGACTGCAAAAAATCGGGACGTTCTGATAAAAAAAACTTGGGGGAAAAAAGTCCAACAAAATAGGGCCAATTGCAAAAGAAGAGGGCGATATTTACAGAAAAAGAGGGCGCTGTTTGCTATGTCAAAATGGCAGTTGTTGCACATACATATCCGTACATATGTGTACATGCATGAATGTTCGTGCATGACACTGGCATGTAAATAACTTGTCTTATGCAGCTGCGCATTTTTCTATTGACCGGTAAATGGATGTTGATTTTTGCGATTTCTGACTTCGCAATGTGGCAGGTATGCCGCAATCAAAGTATAATATTCCGGGCACCTCATGGTGTTAATTGAATTTATCCCCCCAAGCTGTTTTCAAGATAGACATTCACATTACAGATAATTATTGGACATTTCCATGTAACTTTCTAAATATTTGATTTGTAAAGATGCTTCAGTAAAAAAATCTGCAGTTAATCAAACCTGTACTGTAGAGGGAATGGTTGAATCTGTCGAAAATCTCAAAAACCTGTGGGCCTAAGCTTTTCGTGAAATAGGTTGCTGATTTCCTGCAGTAAAAAAAAACCCAAATTGTTTTTGCCATAGGATAATGCTTCAGAATTGCTTTGATTGTCTGTGTCAAAGAACACAACATACCAGTGTCCTGCTAGCACTTTGCAAGCAAACTGACTTCTCTGCTGTTAACTGATTTAAGAATGGCTGCAGGTTTCCCAACACCAGTCCCTGTTTGAGCATTTGACCATGAGGGATCCAATTACGCCCATAGAAGCATGTGCTAATCAAAACGCTCAGTCCGAATTATCTTGATCGGTGTTATTACCTGTTTGATGTTCACAGTTTACGCTTTGCCCAAGCTGTACGCCAAGCTTCACTACTGCGTGAGCTGCGCCATTCACTCCAAGGTGGTGCGCAACAGGTCCAAGGAGGCGCGCAAGGACCGGACACCCCCTCCCCGCTTCCGCCCCGGAATGGTAAGCCGCCAGCCGGCACCTCTCCTGCTGGCATGGCCAGCCTACTCATCTCATTCATCTTTGCCTCGCAAGGGTGGGATTTCTGTGGACGTTTCCTGATTTCAGAATGTGTGGCCCAAAACTCTAGATTTTGAGAGGTCTATACTGTTGGGGTTTGGCTACTGTTTTGCCTAATTGTAAGAAAAAAAGAAGAAAGTAAACTAAGTGCAAGATGCACGTAATGGCTGCCATTTGGGAGAGAACTCGTGCCTAGCTAGCTGTGAAAAGACCCCAGAAGCACAAAATTCCATTGACACTGTTGGAGGCCAGTTGGATGTTGCATAAATTTCCCTTTTACCCTACTGATATCACCCCTGCACTAGCCAGTTATCGCCAACACGGGAAAGGTGCAAATTTCATTTACAGTGGAACACTGTTATAACAAGGTCCTAGGGACTTCACAAATTACCTTTTTACACTAGTCACCTTGTATTATCAGCAATGGTAAACAAAGAAAAAGACTTGGGACCTAAAATTGTCTTTGTTTAACGTGACCTTGTATTAACAGTCTTCTTATCTGTGTTTTACTGTACTTGTAATCCAGGATTTTAGTCCTGTCTGGTTGCCCAGAGTGGAGAAATACTTTCCTTGCTTAATTTCAGAAAGGGTTTTTCTAAAACTAGACAGGGTTTTTTTTTTTCAAAATACAATTATATATGTTCGGAGAGTAAGGCCAACGTTTCAGTTTATTGGATTACAGATATACCATCTCTGAAAAGAACGATCGTCAATTTGAGCAAAATTTAAAACTGAAAAAAATTCCGACATTTTTTCCAAAGGCAGTATTTTAATACTTAAATCAAAATTTTTCCCTTACATTTTATTTGGAGTGAATGAAATAAAAAAGAAAACAGCGTGCAACACAAAGTGTCCCCAGTATATGGCAGACTATCACAAGTCACCTGTGAAATAATGTCCAGTAATTCCATGTTTCGACCCTGGATAATCTTGTACTATGTGAAATATAGAGTAACCTGAACTTTTTTATTTCTACTCATTCGTTGACTCGGCCAAATTTTGTAGCATTTACGTGATCTATTAAATTGAAAAAAGAAAAATGCCCTGATTTTGTTACCAATGAAATTCCGATATATGAATGGTCCATTTATTTCCCTCATTTTCCAGGCTCCTGGTCAGCAGGCAAGACCGGGCGGCACTGGAGGGCGTTAACTGTGGAATCGTTCCAATTCGGGAGTTCATTTTACATGGCCTGACCCACCAACGTTGCCATGGCACATGCACATCAGCATCGGGAGGAACAGAAAATGCACTTTCATCGAGCAACAGACCACTTATGACTTTTGAAAAAATTAGAAATGAATCCTCTGTATGTAAAGTACAGGCTCCTTGTGAACAGTTGTGACAAATAAATGCCATCAAGAGGCTAAATTAGACAGATATGCTACTTGTGGTTTCTTATGTCTTGAGTTTATTGAATTATGGAGCTGTTAAACACAAGGAGTAAGAACGAACTCCCCACAGACCTTAATCCGATTAACTGCTCCGGTCGGCTCCACCGGCAAGGCGCGGTTAATACCGGCCCCGGTGTTGAAGACCCTAGACATTCTTTGTACACACTGATCGCCACCGCCAGGTAGCTGGTAATCCACACACTCGCTGTGCTTCGCTGCGGCATACTGGAGTAAATAAATGGTTGAAAAGATGCACGGAGAGGATGCGCGGTTCTCTTCAGTAGTCCTTGGGGGTCAGCGAGTGATCTTCGCCGATGCACTCGAAAATTCCAAATCAGCGGTGGTTATTTGACAAACGTCGGACGTTTTTAAAGTCAGTTATGACATTTTGCATTTCTGGCGGTAGAGCACAAGTACCCAAAATATGAGCTGCGATATTTATGTCATAAGTCGCAATCCTAATGGTTCCTACGGTTAAAAGAAGGTGGAAACATCTTTGGACAGAAGCATCTTCAGAATTCGTTGATTAACTCAGCAAAAATTGAGAGAAGGAAACGAAAGATGGGGAAATAAACCTGCATTTGATGTGTGCTTTAAGCAACTGCGAAACTTGTATTTTTCCTGATTTTTTTAAAGTTGGGGTACGGTATTCATGATTGACTTGTCGATGGACTGCAACCTTATAGCATAATTTCATTACGACCCTTGCCACTTCGTGGCGACATTCATCAACAATTTCAGCGATTTAAAACAAAACAAAACAGCGCGAAGCAAAAGAGGCGTGTCTGCTTGGTCGTACCGGCGTGCTTTCTCTTCGAGTTCCTTGTCAAACCTTGTAACAACAGGTAAGGTAAACCAATATGACATATTTTAGAAGTAAAACGTCCAATTTTTTTTTAAACATCCAACGCATTTAAGTTGAGGAACCGTTTAAGATTTATTTGTTTTAAATATAGACTGCACACGTCCTGAGATGGAAGTTGCTTTTTAGGACGTGGGGAATTTATTTTCTTTACTTTGTTATCACGTTTTTTTATCCTCTATTTCAGCCATTTGGCGGGCTCTAAACGTTGACGTTTCTTACATTATCAAATGAAAAACGGAACTATTATTTTGTACTTCCAAACCTTCCACATTTTAAAACGAAAACTAAATGATTGTCATCTTTGCTTTCAAAATGAAAACCGAAAATACACTTGTCTGTCGTTCTTCCGTTTTGTTTTCAAATGGACGATGAGAAGGCTTTTGTGTCTATTTCCCTTTTTCCGACTGAAAGACTGCTTGCCCTTTTTATGAAAAAGATTTGTTTTTTGATGTTTAGTTTTCGTTTTTAAATCGAAAGAAAGAAACGTATACACGGACCACGATCGCTGGTTATAGTCCGCCCCCTCTGTTTATATAAGAGGGATCAGAGTTTCCCTTAAGTTGATAACTTATGGTATCGCCATTGTTTCTCTCGACAACCAGCCCACCCCCCACCCACTCGCCTGTGTGGCGTGACGCGTGGGCGCTGCGCAACGAGCGAATACCAGTACATTGTACAACATTACTGATTTTACGAACGTGGGCACCAGCCGTTCACCTATCAGATTTAGCGCAACTTTTGCGTGGGCGGCATTTAATAAAATGTTCCACCAGTGACACAATTTTTAGTAGACCTAGCTGAACGTACGATCTTGAGGTTGGTGTTTCTGAAACCTTGTAGTGGTACTGTTGAACTACTTATGTTGACCGGTTTTGGCGACGCAATGACAACAACCTACTCTTTTATATTTCTGCTTCTGTGTGGACTGGGGATGGGAGGGGCTGCTGGACAGGCGACTGGGATAAATCACAAAAGAGGTAAGTCTGTCGTCTGACAGATTTTTGAGTTGGCCTAACTCACAGTGCCGTTTCAGACGCTACTTTAAAGTTTTACTGTAATTAGTTGTTCTGTTCTATAGTTCTCACTCATTCTTTGTTGACAAATGTTGAGTTAAAAAAATTGGATAAAAAAGTCTTGAAATGTTCTCCAGAAATGCATCTACGACCTTCGTTTCCTCGTATTGCCACAAATTTCAAACTCAATTTTGCTGCTGACGGGTATTTGTACCTTCTGATAACACATACAGTTGAAAAGTCTATTATTCCCTATAGGGCTTTTTAATGGCATGTCATTAAGTTAATATAATGACAATGTCTTTATTCAAAGTGCAAGATAAACCCCATGCCAACTTTTGTGTGAAGTGTAGCTGCTGGGTTTTTTAGACACTTTTTTTTCTACAACAACTTTGTACTCCTCCTCAATCTGTGAAAACTGTTTTACATTCATATTTGTTTAGGTTACATGCATTGAAAAGTGCACTTCTTAAAAACTTTGAGCTCTCCATTCTTTCTTGGTTAACTGAGGGCACTGTTGCTGTGATGGTATCTAGGATAGACAGAGTGCAGTGCATGCATTTCTTTTTTCTGTTCAACTTGTGAAGCCAGAAAATTTACGTACTGGAATGTTGGGGACATTTCTGAGAACGGAATTGACGCTTGCCTATTGCTATGCATATAAACAACAGGGAATTGGCAAAGAAGACAGCATTTAGTCCAGCACAGCTGTGCACAGTCTACCAAATGCAGCACTTTTTGGTTTACAAACATTGGAGCTTTCCTCCTAGGATGACATCACAGTTTTGCTTTTAAAACACACAAAAAGTGGAAAACTCATTAGCATAAAACAAAAAAGGCAATAACATACCCTTTAAAATAGTGAAACAAAAGTTGAAAATGAGGTTATGCAAAGATGCACAAGTTGCATCTAATTTTCATTTCGAAACTTTTCCTTGAAAAAGCTGAATTTTCAAGGATTTCACCCAAATCCTTGAAAATGTACCTTTTGTGTTTGTTTTGCTATTTTTATAAGTATTCTTTGAAGACTTCCATTTCCTTTGGCAAATTATTTTTTGAAAGTATATGGCAGTAAGCCAGCAAGCAACCTTTTCTCAGAGATGTTTTCAAAAAGCAAATTTGAAGTTCAAAATTTGAACAGCATCGTCCTTGATTTACATTCCACTAATTAACAGTGCCTGCACTTGTCTAAAGCTTGGTCAATTTTGAATGTTGGAAAAAGTGCACTGTGCAGCTCACTCAACTACAAAATGATGTCAAACAGTTTTCATGCATTGGATCAAAGTTTAAACATGCAATAAAATGTTATTCTGGGAAAAAATTCATTGCACTGATCCTCAAATGATCATCAAGTAATTCCTACATTTCTTGAAGTGTATGTTTGGAAGTTCATACGTGTAGTAGGCACTCGTTCATGGGTGAAAATCTCTCATCGATCGTGGGGGGACATCAAGTTACACTTTTTTTGTGCCCACGGTGTTTAATATCTTATTCCAACTGGAAAATCCTCGATCCATCAATTCCTTTAGTATTTGTTTTACTTAAAACAGGGAGGGGACATTCGACACTGAGTCCCCCATACCAAATTCATTAGGGGAGTGTCCCCCGTTCCCCCCCCCCCGAGATTTCCACCAATGCACTTGTTTACTGTTGAAAGACAATAGTTACACCTTGGTCTGTCCATTAGTCTTGTTGAGAGCAGCATTTGGAATGACAGACTCTTCCAAAGGTGCTACAAACAATTAAAGTCAGAAGGCTGGGCTGAGGTGTGGTTCTGCTGTCTTTGTTTTCTCAGTGAGGAATTTTTATGGATGAAAATACTTGGACCATCATTTTTAGAAAAGAAAAAAAAAAATCCTGTCCCCCAAACCCAAATGTAACATCCTCCTCACAGCTTCTGTCTCAATAAGTAAACCACGTACAAAATGAAAATCAGGTGGAATCTTTCGGAGTTTGAACTTGACAAGTAAGTTGCTTTCCAAAGAGTCTTGATACAAGCAGTGGTTTGTTGGAGCGATCTGTTCCTCACATGCAGTGAAATGTAGAGGGCTGTTTAAAGTTCACAAAATGTGCATTTTCTTCCCAAATATTACATACATGAACATGTCGAAGGTTGCATTCCTGGTGCATTCTACGTGTAAACAACTCAAAAGAAATTCCCCATGCCTTGAATTTGTATCTCTCAAGTGTCAAAAGCAGTATTATTGTACTAGTGTAAAGTGTTCACACTGTGAGATTCACAGGCCGAGATGAAACAATGTGGCCTTTGCACCATCACGTGACCAGCTCCAGAGAGATACAGTATAAGTTACGCTATGCATTTGGATTGCAGTGACCCCCTTGAAAGTTCAGAGGGTGACATCTCTTGGAATTTCATGTTTTGCTTGTTGACAGAAATAACAGTTTCGATCTCCAACATTTCAGGTTTTAAAGTTCAAAAGGAACATGTTTGTTGCTAGGAAGGTTTAAGATGAGTCCTCCAAGCCAAAATCTACATGACACTCAAGTTTTAAAGCCTGTTTTCTCTTATGTTTTTCACAGAACTAAATAAATAAATTAATGTAAAAAATATCTTTCCCGAACAGAATCTGCTGAGCTCTTCCATATGCCAATTGCAAGCTTATCCTGTGGGTTTTTCAGTCACACATATTTCTAGCTCATTTAAAAACTTTTTACAACATATTTATACTATATACATTTCTTCAGAGTACATATCCAAACAGTCCAACTGAAATAATGTATGATATTGTATACTCATGGACTTGTTTAACAGACTACGTATACAGAAAACAAGGAATAAAGCCCCTGTATTCAGGTTTTCGTTAAAACAAATTGAAAGAGAACATTTTCTTGAAGTAAAGAGGGGAGGGGTGGTGCTAGGTGGGCGGGGGCCGATGTGAATCAAAATTTCGTATGATTCGCGATACAAAGGTCTCAGCCCATATTGATGACAGATTGTCCAGTTGACCCTTCTGTCTACATCACTGTATTTTTAGGCTTGCAGTGGCTGGTAACCTGTAGCTGCCCTTTAGGAAAAAAGCAAAGTAATCATCCACAAAAAACAATGATACAGACTGTCACAAAACTGTTCTTACAGATATCCTACCAAGCTTGCCAGCAAACTTATCCATGCAAGCTTGTAGGCAAGCTTTCAGGGTACACACACTGTAAATTAGGGCAAGCCTGCAGGCTGTGAGTGCATAGTCAAGCTTGCAAGCCAGCTGGATGGCACAGTTGTTGGCACCCTGCAAACAGGGGCAAACTCTTGCCTAACCTGCCTCATGGTGACACGTTTGGACAAGCTTATATGCCATGTCTTGATCAAGACCTTTGTGTTCCTCCTATTCAGAGACTCAGAGGCTGCTGTGTGGACAATTCAAGCTCATTCACCCCCTCCCCTTTTGTTTTTGTTTTTTTCTTCACCTCTGTGTAGTTTGCATTGGAAATGCTGGGAGCACATTCTTGGACAGTGACTTTACCTACCAGTCACTGAAGGAACGGTTTGAAGGTATGCTGATGCCCAGTTATCCCTGGATCCAATTTATGACACTCTGAAATGCAAGAGAGCCTATTAACTAGTTTGCTGTTATACAAATAATTATGAATGTTTACAAGTGCAGTCATTTAAATCATTTCACAAGATGACAAATTATGTGTTCTGTTCTATGAGGAGAAGCCGAGTGGATTAGAGCACCCACGCAGTCTGACGTTATTCTCTCTATTGCAAATGTGAAACACCTGTTACGTGTTTTGTACTATGCCTGAATAAACCAAGGCTAGACTTTATGTCACCGTTTCACTTTTCTGGTCTGAAGTAAAATGCAACCCAAAGTTTGTATGTTTTGCCTTGATCAGTTCATGCATAAACTGATGATTCCGTTAGTCTTCTAATGGAGAAATATAACTCTATCACTTACAAGTTTAGATATTTCCTGAAGTGACAGAAGAAAAAATGTCACCAGTATTCCGTGTTTATCAGCATTACCCCAAATTTTGTGTATTTGTGTCAAGAGCTGGCTCACCTCACCCATTAGGCGGGCTCTGGTATCAGTCAGCCAGTGACAGATTACTGATCAAGATTCGGATCTGCGTGAAACAAACAGTCCTATACGTTCTGTGGGAGAAGAGCCTTGACTGTGTGCCCAGAGAAATGGTATAATTCACAGTAAAACCCCCATTGTTGCACTGTGGATTCTCCTAAATAATGTATGTCACATGATCTACGGTTTGTGAGGTCCCTTTGGTGTCACTTTATCTTTGTGATGCATGTTTCACAAGGAGGCACATGTCTTTCAGTAAGTTGCCGAAGCAAGATAATAAGTTGCCAAAGCAAGATGATAAGTTGCCAAGGCAAGATAATATTGTCAACAGGTATGATGACCCCCACAGCACTTGCCGTCAGGACACGGTGAGTTAAGGATCTATTTTTTTGCCGTTTGTACCGTTTATATCTAATCCTGTTTTACAGATACATGTGCATGTGTGTACAGTAGTGTAACTAGGTGTAAACATTCAGGGGCATCCAGTGCTGCCAAAAAAAGTCTAAAGGGGGGCACGAACTGCTCTCTCAATTCCAAAGAGTGAAAACTCAATCTTTTCGAGTGAAAATTCACTCCCGCAGTCGGAAACTAGGGACAAGACGTTTTAGAGTGAAATTTCTTCAATCGAAAAGATCGAATTTTTCACTCGAGCTCCGACTGAGGTGATTATTTTGTCAGAGTATTTCAATCAATATTTCAATCAAAATTGAAAGTGATTTTCACTCTAAATTGTCTTGTCCCAAGTTTCACTCTTTCGCATTTAGAGAGTGGTCTTCTGGGAAAACATAGATACTCAACTCACCGTGCGAGATGTCCTGACTGTGGCAAGTACCATTATACTTTTAACCGATATTTTGTCTTGCTGTTTTCTTGCTTTGGTAAGTTATCTAGCTTTGACAAGTTACTGAAAGACATATGCCTCCTTGTGAAACACACATCACAAAGGGAAAGTGACACCGATGAGACTTCACAATAGTGCGCCTCCAAGAGTTTGCAATATGTTGGCCAATCATAACGCGCGAAATTTGTCGACCCTTTCCAAATGCGCATTGGGTCAACAAATTTTGCGCATCGTGATTGGCCAACACGTTGCAAACTCTTGGTGGCGCACTATTGTGAAATGGCCGTATTGCCCAGTGTTTTGCAGTGTTTATATTGCCATGCAGGTTCAGAAAATATCCAGAAATTTGGTGATTGTAACTTGTTCACCTGTAAGCTTGCTGTGTTTTTTTTGGGGGGGAGGGGGAATTGGAAGGTCAGTTGAAGGTAGACAGTGTTTTTGTATGTCATCTGACTGCTATTAAATCCTCTCCGATGTATAACATTAATATAGGGGGATGTAAACGTTAGGTACCAGGTGAATTGCCTAATTGTTGTGCAGAAAGATAAAAATGCTGGGTAAAAAAGTGGTTCTAAAAATAACATTTTCTACCAGCGTGGTTGGGCATTCTGTTTGCCCAACAGTTCAGCGATTCACCTAACGCTGGATAAAAAATTGCCATTGGCAGCATTTTTACAGTGTATGCCAAGCAGGTATTTGACACAGAATCAGTAAAAGGAGAAACAGGATTCATGAGAGACTTTCTACCGGGGGAAGTTTTCCTTCTGTATCTGTTGGGCAGGCTGCACCCATGTAGAAGGCAATCTGGAGATGAAGTTTATCCGCCAGTCACACTACAACATGTCCTTCCTGAACGACATCCAGGAGGTGACGGGCTACATACTGATCCTGCTGTACTACCCGGCGGTCCTCTCCTTCCCCAACCTGCGCGTCATCCAAGGTTCCACACTGTACAACGGCAACCAGGCGCTGTATGTGGCCACCAACTACCATGCCCGGCTCCCCGAGATGGGGCTGCGGGAGCTTCACTTACCTAAGCTACATGGTGAGTAAGAAGGTTTGCGGTGTGACTTGAGAGCCCGTCCATGTCACAATGCACAGACAAATGACAGCTCCTAAACTGTTTTAGAAGACATAATTCTGAAATGACAGTCTCAGAAGTTGTGAAGTTTAATCTTGCTCCTTCCTCCAAAATGCATTGGCATAGAACAAAAGGGCCCATTAATCAATAAACTGATTGTGCCCGCTAACGGTCACGTGACCTGTAGTGGGTATTTAAGTGTGTTTTAAGTGTTGTTTACCAAAACGTAAAGCTGAATTTCTGTGAATTACTCAGCACACCAGCAATCTTGGTACTCTATTGACTGTTAGCTTTTTTTGGGCAAATGACACTTGTGACAGACTTTGCTATGGGGGGCACACCATATTTGTGATACCCACTATAGGTCGCATGACACACATGTAGCAGGTGCAGTTGGTCTGTTCTGCAAGATCATGCAGCCACCAAACTTACACTCCGATTGACTGTATGTATGGATTTAGGGAGCATGGCCACATTTGCTTCTTGTCTTGCAGAGATCGTTCAAGGAGAGGTTACGTTTGTGGACAATCGTGACCTCTGCTACATCCAAACCATTGATTGGGGTGACATGCGTGAAGGTCTGGTTCCTTGGTTCGACGAATACGGCACATCATGCACCGAAGGTGACGCCCTACTCAAACTATTCATAGTGATAGAGGTAGTCCTAATTTGCCAATAAATTTCCGGTGAACAATTTCTACTACTTCCGCCTCCCCCAGTGGCATATTGGGAGGGGGGGGTTAGGAATTGAAAGCTAGTAGCACTTTAGAAATGGCACTTCTGTCTTTCTCAGGGATAGGGGTATAGTAAAAATTTGGACAGTCTTTTTCAGAGCAAATTCTCTCTCAAGTTGTCTCTTCCAGTCATGATATCATTTCAGTATTTAATTTACTATGTTTTTCTAGTTTTTTTGGACAATGCATCAGGGCATGGCCATGCATGACGGCAAGTCCGTCGTCGTTGCCCTTACTGGCTGAGGTGATTTCTTTTCCAGATAAGATCTTCACCCAATATTGCCGGGCACCCAGTATAAGGTATAAGACATTTTACGTTCAGTGTCCTTGCCAGATACTTGGCCTTTATCATGCCCTTATACCCTTGGCCATGGTGCCCTCTATAACTTTGCATCATTTGCGGCCATTATTTGTGACCTTCACCTAAAAATTACCTCTTTAAGGCCTGACTGCATGGGTGAATTTCATTGTGAACTGTATCTCTCTGGATAATTTGTTTATAGGAAGAGTCTTGAATGTTCCAAAAAACACATTTGTCGGGATATTTCCTGATTTCAGGATTTTTCAAGCAATCTCTTTTAGTGATCAGGAAATCGTGGAGTTAGCTTGGTGGTGTTTTTACACATGAGTTCAGTTGATATAGATCCTAAGAAATGGGCATTTCAAGGGATATGCCTTTACTAATTCCTGGTGCCCCCCCCTAAAAAATGGATGAATGGATATTGAACAAAACTAACAAAAGTTTGCCTCCCAAAAAAACCACACCCCTAAAAGCTGGTCCCCCCATGAGATGCTTGTGCCCTTCCCCCCCCTACTAGTCGAATCCTAGCTATGCCATTGTGCCTTTATACACAAGCATAGACCCTACACTGCTGTGGGGCCATATTTCATTTTCCTCCAATCTCGCCCCCTGGTGGTTAACCACAGTATCATGACATAGACTACCGTGTACATTCTGCTCCCTGACTACTTTGCCATACAACCGGCAAAAGTACCCAACTTGGGGTACCAGGTGAATTGCTTAACAGTTGGGCAAAATGAGAATAACACTTGGTAAATAGTAATAGTACAGATGAGACAAGTTTGCCCACTTATCAGGAGAGAATCAAGGTGGTTGGGTTATCCGGTTGCCCGATGAACAGTTAGGCGATGCACCCTGGTACCCAACGTTGGGCAAAACTGCCCAGGGGACAGTGTACATAGAACTGCATGTGAGAGCGTGAGTGTGTACGTTATTGATGGTTCTAGCGAGATAATTCAGATGTACCAAATCAATAAATAATAATTATAGTAATAATTCAGGTTTATATTGCCCCACACGTATCCACCCCTCTAGGTGCTCAAGGCGCATCATTATCCTTGCACATTGGGCTCACAATAACTGAACAGTCCTGAAACCATCTTAGCTCCCTGGGGAGTACACTAGCTGATGCTCCCATATCAATATCAAGCGCACACGGCTAAACTAAATCTGCCCTCACAGGTACCCATGTTTTCCTTGGTGGAGAGAGGCACATGGGGGGGATAAAGTGACTTGCCCAAGATTGAAACATGCTGCTGCACCAACTGGATTCGAACCTCCGACCCTATGATCAGAAACTACAAACTGTAACTGCTAGGCCACATGCCCCCACAAAGGCAAAGGTTTGTGTCAAAATTTGCACGGAATGCCAAGAGTACTTTTAAGGAAGTATTGAATATAGGAATATCAAATAAAATAATAAGACGGGGAAATATCATTTATGTGTTTGCAACATTGAATTCTGTGAGTGCATTTCAAGGGGGCGTGAGGTCCCTCAGAAATTAATGTTGGTGGTCAAAATTGTGTGGTCATGTGGTACTCTGATACGGTTTAATCATAATAGTTAATACTGTATGGTACATGTCTTTGTTTTGTGATCTGTATGCACATAACATGCGCTATGAATGATTACCACAGGAAAAGTGATATATCTCTGTGACCAGTAATGGTACCTATGAGACGATAAAGTTGTACAACTTTTGTCATTTCTCCTTGACACCTTGCAGAGCATGTTTGTGCTCCAAACTGTCCAGGTGGATGTTGGGGAAGTGGGCCTGATATGTGCCAAGTGTGTAAGTAAAAAAAAAGAAGACACAACCATGTTAACCTAGGACGTGCCGGAGATGTTGGAGGAAAAGCCCAAATATGCATGTTATCTGTACTTGTCTCCCCAAATTAACCCAAGGCCCCTCTTTTTATGGTTAAATAGAAATTACCTCGCATATCATCCCTTCCACAGCTGGTCATTTGAGTATTGGTACTGAAGATGTGCACAGCCATGGTAGCTTGCCAGAAACATTAACATACCAAAGGGATATATCGCAGCCCCTTAAAGCAACAACTAACATGTTTACATGTACACTTTTCTATGAAGTTTCCTTCAGTTTCCTTCACTGGGTTTTAACAGAAAAGAACATGTACATGTACGTAAATAAAAAGTGAGGTCATCAGCACATGTAGCCGATACACAGTGCTTAAGTAGCACCATTTTCTTTATTTTTTCTTTCTGCGTCAGTAACTCGTAAAAACTGCAGTGAGATATGTGACTACCGCTGCCGGGGACCGACGCAGGCAGACTGCTGTCACCGAAGCTGTGCTGCCGGCTGCACTGGACCAAGTAACAAAGAATGCCTCGTAAGAAGTTGGAAAGCTAAATCTAGATTCATAGTTTCCATGCGGTCATAGTGATCACTGACAGCAAGCAAGATATCAAGACTGTCACGGAAGAGACAGTGTCTGAAATCACATTCAACAAGAAAGCAGAAAAAGGTGTCCCAAAAAAACTCTGGAAACATCCCTGTGAGATGCCTGTTTTGTGAAAGCTTCATCTTGTACTTCAGTTTAACGTGTTTCCTTCATGGTCATTTTGTTGACGATTGGCTTTGCAGGCACATTTTAGAAGGGAAAAATGGGCCAAATATGCAGTACTAAAGTGAGAGGGACAGGGGTGCACATCCCTTATGCCAGTGCATGTGTTTGTGGGGGGCCTGCTCTGACAACACGATGAAGACACCCGGCAAAGTCGAACGTATCCAACTTTGCCAACTAGTCTACATCTGTGTTTGCATCATTTGCAATTAAACGATTGTGAGTGAGTCTCATCCAGGACTAATTGGGGACGCTTGGCTGTATGTCTTTTTCCTTTCAACAATTCGTCATGGGAACTATAAGCTTTAAACCTCTTGACTTTAAATGGAGGGTTCATAATGCTTGCCCATCAAGACTGGCTCAGACCGTGCATATTCAACTTTCACCAGACCAGGCATGATTTAGCTCTTTCCATTTCCTGCTCACCAGGCATGTCTCAAGTTCACCATGGACGACCAGTGCATTGAGGCATGTCCGCCCCGTACCGTATACCAACCGGATACGTTCCAGAACAAACCCAACCCGGACTTCCGATATGCATACGGCAAGACTTGTCTGACCAAATGCCCTGGTAAGAATGATGTCGTCAGCACCACTCCCCAATCTGGCAAGGTTGTGACCCCTTCAGAATCTTTGTACTTAACTTTTGCACGTAGTTCAGTAGTTTGTACACATTTGGAACGTTTTCATTTCGTTCTGTCAAACTTAGGACCGCTGATGTTGTGCAGCACCAAAGTTTATTAGCCCGAAGAAACCTTTTGGAGTTCAGAAAAATGAACTCAATAGAAGTTAAATTAAGGAGTAACCCTTATTAAGCAAAAAGTTACCAAACTTTAAGTGGTTTCGCGATGAGAATTTTACTTGTAAACGTGCTTTTCTGCATTTTTCGTCAAAAACCAATATGTGACATCCCTCTTCTTGGTGGCTGTTTTTGAAGAGTGTGGAAAGGCATTCCTGCCACACACACAAAAAGTTTTCACATGCCCACATGATTGTTTTCACATACATGTGTGATAGTTTCATATATATATATGTGATATTTTCACATACGTTTGTGATAGTTTCACTTACGTATGGAATAGTTTCATACGTGTACTTTATACATATGTGTTAGTATACAAATATAACATAGTTTGAGGTTTGACGGTTGATGTTAGTTCCCCAAGGTATTGGGAGATGACAAACTTCGCTTCGGGAACTAGTGAAGCTGAGGGATGGAACTATAGTTTGTCAACTCCCAAAACCAAGGGGAGCTAACATCAACTATATCCAACCTCAATAAACCATGTTATGTTTGTTTCACTGTACCTCATACATATTTTATTGAATAACCTCTGAAAATAAAAACAACGTTTGCCGCCATCTTTTCATATGAGCTGCATACTGTTGCTGGGCTGGTGCCACCACGAGTGCGCAGTACACCCCGGGCGACAGTTTCTGGATTGTCTGCTACTGCGCATACATTTTTAGCTGTCACCCAGCTGGGTATAAGCCAGGCGACAGTTAAAAATGCATGTGTATTTACTCTTTGCGTGAACGATCGCGTGTGCGCTATGCAAACAGCAAAAATAGCGGCTGGCGCGTGACTGTGATGACAAGAACGAGAGTTTGGCGATCCATCATGAATATGTATGAGGCAATTTCCACTTGTATAAGTGTTGACACAAGCAACTTCCATTTTCAGGAAAATTACAAGCTGCCCAATTTCACAGTGCTGCATATTGTTAAACATATTACTTGACAAATTTACTGAACAGTAAGCGTATATTATGGCAAACATAGTATTACATTCCTGCAAACTGTTCCCCTCTATGCGCTTGTAGATGATACAACGTACACAGTATTTCTATTACGCACCACGCAGTCAGCTCATAGCAAGTGCATAATGACCATCCACATTACAGGCATTGTACACAGCGCATTGTAAAATATACCACGCACGAGGCAGCCAGTTGTACGACGCTGCGACATGCCCTTGAACCACTAACAGCTTCGTGGCACATTTCCAACCAAGTCATTTTCCCCCAAATCTTTCTCGGAGTCAATCCTACTTTCTGTCACACATACGGCCTGTACATTCATCAGCCCACACAGACCCCCACTTCATAGGATACGTGTCCTGCCAAACCTGTGTCCGGTCACAGTACAGCATGGGCGCAAATAGAGATTTCCATTATGTTACTAAGTTAAGCAAATCTTTCCTGCGAGGCCAGCATGCCTTTTGCTGTGCTTACTGTTTACGGTCTCCATGAAATACACCGAGCCTCTGTCAGAAAATCATGTGCTTAGCCGCGTCATGAAATTGGGCCAGTTTGGAAAATAAGTTGAAGCAGAACCATATAAATAGGGCTAGACTTATCATTCCAGTTGAGGTTGATTTGTAATGTTGAGTTGCATGTCCAGCAGAATTAAGCATAAATAGTGATGTAAAAGCTATCACGTACTTATAAGAAAACTAACATGTACATAGCTGAAAAGTATTTTTATGCGTGTGGTGGTAATGCCTTTGTTACTGTGATGTCACACCAGAAAGACAGTGTTCCTTGGGGGATTTTCTGTTCTAACTGTGAATTGCAAAATGTGCTTATTGAAAGTAATTGAGAGGGAACTTTTGGTTGCTTGTCTACTGTCGTGAATTGAAATAGTAAATCACTGACGTACGTGAAGCACATTTACAGGTTACATTGCCATGGGCCTTTTACTGTTGGTTGACTGCGTACATAGATTACAATTTCCTTATTTTTCTTTGCCCGCTCATCTTTAACGTTATTCAGATAACGCATTCGAGGAAGGCGACACCTGTGTCCATTCGTGCTCCCCGGGAGCCACAACAAGCAATGTACCAGGAGAAAACAAATGTGTGAAATGTGATGGCCCATGTCCAAAAGGTTTGTGCATGCACAATCCGATCCAAAAAGCTTTCCTGTAAGTTTGGGATTTCAAGAATGTTAGTGAATATATGTTCATATGAAAATGGACTAGATGTTCTGTTGCAGGCCCTTCAAGCCACTGATTTTCTGAGGAGCGTCTGAGAATTCCAGATTTTTCGTCTTGTGATACTGGTTGATACAGAGGGAATAAATCTGTAATGAAGCATTGAAACGTCTACATTTTAAGACTGGATTGGGGTCTGGGAAAAGAAATGGACTGAGCTGAAAGCAAGGCCATGTGACATGACTTATCATGTGCATGCATGCACCATGTACATACACCATGTACATGCACACGCACTAGTGCAATGCGTATATATAGTTTTATGTGTCCAGATGTACGTGTAGGAAGCCCAAAACGTGAACCGGGTCGCTCGATGGCGTTCGATCACAATCCAGAGATAGGACCCCAGCCAATGAGTGTGACCGTTACACTAAGAAAGTTTCCAAAACCGGTTGATAGATTTGTCATCTTTTAAAACTATCAGGTGATGGATTGTCAACCAGTAGGAATAGGTAATCTATGGTTGCCGTTTTACATTGAGTTCTTGCCTGTGTGTGCATAGCAATGGTCATGATTAAAGCCGTACAGGGGTTGGGGGGGTGCACATTTCCCCCTTTTTTCACCAAAATAAATTAACAAATGAATAAAAAGAGAAGAAAAAGAGGGAGGGGGGAGAAAAAAGGAGGGAGGGACCGAGCCCCATAAACATGACAAAGGCATAAAAGAAACAATAGTTCTGCTTCCGGTTACCCAACCTCCCGGCTAATTTTACAGTCGTGACCCTAAATTTTTTAGTTTACGCCCTTATTTGGAAAAGTCCTGGAACCACCTGTTATTTGTGGCTAAGTTGGAACTTTCTAGTGTTGTAGAAGGCATGTGGGTACAGAACACAATTACTAGCAATGAGACACCATCTTCTTTTCCTTTTGGAAGTCTAGCTGCACATGTGTGGAGACTTTGATTCACACACCTGTTTGCAAAAGATAATCTGCAAACAAGTCCCACCCCGGCAGTCTTTCCACCAAATCACAGCTGCATTCGTGGACGTATGCTGTGTGCGGCTGCATCACACGCTTGCAGAGAAGCACAAGTTAAATGCCCGAGTGTTCGCAGTGGGTGGGGTGAACTGGACCGGTTTAGTGCCATGTTGTGTATATAGCCCCGACACAGTTGCAGTGGGAAACTCACATTGTGTTGGAGTTGAAATACACTTGTTTCTAGCGAATTTCTGTTGGAATTTCATATCTTCACAGTGTGTGATGGTACAGAGGAGATCCTCTACAGGGAACACTTTGACAACGGATTATTGTCCAATTGCACAGTCATCAGACGCAACATCTTCATTGGCACATCTTCATTTGATGGGTGATTTCTGCCATCTGCAGTTTCTTTCTCTTGTCTCATGGCAATACGACTTGAAAATGATCACCTTGCATCTCATTCTGTGATGGTTTTAAAAACCCCTCCGTAAAAGTACAGTATCAGAAACACCTGCCTTTGAACATTGTCATATTCTGCATCAAAGTTTCCAAAGAATCCTCTTGACATAAAAAGAGTTACCAATTAAAATGGCTTTTCACAATCAGAAAATGTATAATTTGAAAATTTGCGGGTTATCGGGGGAGGGGTCCAATTTAAGAGGCAAAAAAAGACAGAAAAGGGGGGAAAAGGAACAGATATATAGGAAGACAAAGGATGAAAATCTTTTGCTTGAAATTATCATGGAATTGACCTGCTATTGCTTAGGGTTTATCAGTTTGCTGCCGATGAGTATGTTGCCCCACTGCAGGATGGGGCATTGGTGCTCCAGTGTTGGTCAAATCCTAAGAATGACACCTTACATTTTCGGCAGGGATGTATTTTTGGGGAAGCAAGGCATTACCGTTGAGTTGCTTGAGCAACTGAGCACGGTGCAGGAGGTCGGGGGCCATGTGACCATTCAGGGGTCCCACGAACAATTCACCAACCTCACCTTCCTGCGGAACCTCAAGAAGATCTACGGTCAACAGTTGTATAGGTAAGTATGCTTGCAGTTAGTGGAAGCACAGAGGAGACAAAAGTTGGCTTTGTAGTGTTGCCATCAGAGTTCCTTTAACTTTGAAGTCCATCACAAGTCAGATTGCAAGTGGAGTCGTTTTTCTATGTCAACGTTGAGAAAAACACAGCATCGCCGAACAGCCCTAGTGACACGCACTCACATGGAAGCACTTTGTCAGGACTGATGCAGAAAGATGCAGATAGTCAGCAAGGTTGAATTTCTTCCACCTCGCTGACCGTCTGTGTTGAGTAGTCACAGTAGGCCCACAGAAACACGTGCGTTGGGTTGACAGGCACACAATGATGTTCCTCCAATGTGAGTGCCACGTTTGGCTCATTTTTCCTACAACCAAAGAAGTGAAACCCCATTATCAACATAATAGCTGACTGAATTTAATGCATCAAAGTGCCAAGTTTACCACCTTCAAGAAAAGGTATAATTACCTTGTAAACAGTTCATAGGACAATTTTTCTGAGTGTTGGACACCATGTTTTTGGTCCAATAACTCACACATCATCTCTTTCATGACTATCCACATCTTGACACCTTGTGGAGAAAGGGGCAAAATGTGACGATTAAGCTGAAAGGCCCAGTGAATCTATGAATCTGAAAGGAAAAGCAATTACTGCTCTTAATAACCTCCTGCAAACCTTTCCAACATCGATGGACCAAACAACTCTCCCCGTTTGTTAATACAGTGACTCGGTTGAGTCACTGGGGCTCACATTTCACTCCAGCATGTATCAACTCTTACAAAAATGTGCTGTGCTGATGAGGGTGCGTGGGACGGCATTATTAAACAGCCAAACCATCAAAACGCTGGAGCGCAAAAAGTACCTCTTTCCCCACCTCCCTTCTGGCAAGCATTCTGGCATGGAATCTGGCCACTAGTTGGACCTCTATGTGGGATTGGTCAGTTGCGATTCCTATCCACCCCAAGCTGAAGTGCACCCCCAGTTGGCGAAAGAAAGACGGGTAGTTACAATCGGGTTCTTGTATGAGTTCTGTGTGTACGCAAAGACCATACATGCCAGAATAAATTAGTTACGCGTACTTGGCATGCTTCGCGTTAAATGGATGTATACTTGCGCGTCTCATGGCGCGCCTATGCAGTGTGCACCAAAAATCAAACCCTGTTTTGTTCCGCTCGGAGTGGATAGTATCTTGAGCTGTTCTGGTGACCAAGCTTAGATCCAGAATATTTCATAAAAAAGAGAGCGATCCAGTTCAAATGTGGAAATGTCGTTTACCCCCAATTTGAGATGTATCAAAACTGTTGTTTTTTGGTCAAAAACTGAGTGTTTGTGTCCCGTATTCCAAACAGTTTTGTGCTTATCCTGTGAGATGGTGGTCGCCAATCTGAACATGAAAAGGGAGAAGGGGCCAGAATCTCACTACACTAGTGGGACGGCAGGGGGTCCGAAGTTGAGTTTGGAAAGAAAACTACATGTTTAACGATGTAATATACCCAATATGATGTAATATACCCTCCAAGTCCTGTGTTTGTTTTTGTGGCACCATGAACATTTTTTTTTTCTTTATAGAAACAGCGCCCTGTACATCTTATCGTCCTCTGTGCAGTCGCTCAATCTCATCAGTTTGCAAAGGATCGAGTCGGGCGACGTGAATATCAAGTTAAATCCGCAGTTGTGCTATGCAGACGAGGCACTGTTTGAGAGGATAGGTCACAGGGACATGAGGGTGACCGTATCTCATAACAGGGACTTAATTGACTGTGGTAATTATGGAGAACCAGCTTGCCTCCCCCTGCCCCCTCCCCACCCCTTCCTGACTTTTAGCTGTCAACTGTTTTGGTAGCCCAAAAAATAGCCGAGGTCTTGAAATTAGAAACCACTGTGTTATCGTGGGAATTCTTTAAAAAGTATTTTCATTACAGTATTGAGCTTGCATTATTTGCCACTCACTTGATTAGCTCTCCTACATTGCCTAACCTTAGTAAAAATTATTACCAAGCACTGAGAGTCCTGTTTATTAGTTGTTGCTAATATGTTATTTTTAAAGAAGAAAGGTTTGTGATTCAGAAACACGGCTGTTTTTTTAATTCGTGGCAGAAGGGCCTTGAAAGAGGCCAGACAAAAACAGAATTGGACGAAAGCTGACATGGGTTATTTTTGATGCATTTCTTTTGTGGTGAATGCAGCGTTTCATGGGTTAGCAATAACTGAAGTCACAGATGAGACAGAAACAAAATTTAGCTTGATTGGTATATGTTGCAAGCTGTGTAATGCTGTGATTATGTATGTTAATTATATATGGCATCTCATTTTTCATCCGTGTTCCAAAGATATATCCAAATCAGAAAAATTGCTTTTCCAATTTTTCACAAAGTTTCACAAATGCAAGCTCATTTTACCAATTCGTCATCATATTGTATTCCTGTGCTGTCCTTTGTCTTCTGGCTTCTTGCGCCACTTTGACTAACAGCACTGTTGGGGTCCGATTTCTTTCCATAATAGTTGCAGAAGGTCACGTCTGTGACCCGCAGTGCACCCCCTTGGGCTGTTGGGGGCCAGGTCCCAAGCAGTGCGCCCGATGTCAAAATGCACAGATCGGTGACACCTGCGTAGCCAGTTGCGACTTTTTTTCACAGTAAGTCCAGTGCTCTTTTAATTCTTTCACTGTTGGATATAAGAAAGATCTTCATTTCCATTCATATTAACTGTGACAGGATGTGCAGGTCCATTTGCAACAGAATTCATCCTGCCTATTACAAGTTATTCTGCAGCCGATTTTACAAAATGTGGCACAACTTCGAACCATGCGTAAGCCTTGCCTCAAAAATTTATGCCCTAGCTGCTCACAATGCTTGTGTTCAATTTCACAAAAAGTTGCGTCGCTGCGCACGTTTTAATAAAATTAAATTTCTTAGACGAGGACAAAATCGGTTTTTACGATGGCAGTTTCTTTCCAATACAACGACAGTCATCAAACAGTCATTGAATCATCTCTACCCACCATATTGATATAGTTGTCGTCTTTTCTTCGTCAGAACTGCACAGAAAAGCCTTATTAAGTTCAGCAATGATGAGGCTTAATTGAACACGATAAGTTATGCAAATCATTTATTTTCACTTCGTTTTGCGCAACTTACACCACCTAAAGTGACTGCGTAAGTTATGTCACAATTTGTTGCATTAGTTACACTAATTTCGTTACACGGACTTACACAGTGAATAAGTTTTGTGAAATAGGTCTTACGTTGTTACACAACTTACACAATAAAATGTAATGTAAGTGGAGTGAGATGGGCTGTTGGTTGAAATTGCCCAAAATACTTCCACTTGTGAACTTATCTTTTTTGGAAACCTTCATTAGGGGTTGAGCCGGGAAATTTAGAAAAAAAAAAAGCCACTTCCCTTTTTGTGTAGTGCCCAAGACAGTGTGTCTCACCAACTGATTATAGGCTGAACCAAATTATAGGATCCAAGAAATGAATTTTTCTTAGAATCACTTTCCGTGTATCTCTGTACTCTTCTCCCATGTATGAAGACTTGTTGACATCTTTTTTGAGTTACGTGAACTGAACGGTGCAATTTTCCAAACATTAAAAATTGACCTAGCATTTCTGGACAAGTGAGGGTGCTTTTGCTTTGATGTAAATCCAGGAAGACATGGTTCAGGCTGCATGTTTTCATGTTCAAATTGTGAACCCCAAATTTGCGATCTGTGAACATCTCTGTGAAAAGGATTTTTGCTGGATTATTTGATTAACCCCAACTCTACTCAAAAACAACTCTGTCCTCAGGTATGCAGCGTCGGAAGGCACAGACCACACCCCAACCATCTGTGCTCATTGTGACCCAGAATGCAAGGGCGGGTGTGGAGGACCAGTAAGTTCTTTTTGGGGGTCATATCACTGCTGCCAAAATGGGATAGAATGTGACCAGGGCTTTATCGGGCAAAAACCAACAAGTGTTTGAACTCATTTCGCCCTACTTGATACAATTTCAAATCGAACAAACTCATGCTGACTTTTTTTTTCCATCAAAGATTTCCATTCAGCCAGTGTCTCGTCCTGATCTGGGATGCCAGAAAAGTCTTTAATTTGTCATGATTTTTTTATTTTGGAGGTTATTGGGGTTATTGTTGTGGTTTGTTGGTATCTAATTTTGATACTATTTGTGTAACCTTCATATTGTACTTGAAGTATTAGTCAATCTGTGTGTTGCAGGCAACAACACAATTTCTCTTTCATGGACCTAAAACTGAAATGATATTAAAAATATTTGAATCACTGAATTGAAATTAAATTACCTGATACCCAAAAAACATATGCAGATACACGACCCTTTTATCCTGTGTCAGTTTTATCACATGAAACCGTCAGTGTTGTCGCTGACATCTGTGACCATCAGAAGTCTCCACCAGACTATCGTCACAAGAGCAACACAAGACCTTGGGTCTGGATCTAACTTACAAGCTGTAGGGCTGAATATTTAATTGATTATCAAACTTCGCATATTTTCAATTTTCCGAATTGGAAGAGTTGAATGCAAAGTTCATAAAAAAGGAAAGGAGAATATTTTCTTTTGTTTTAAATGTGAAAAGTTGCACTATGGAGGCTTTGTTTGAAGTAGATTCAAATAAACAAATAAAAAGTGACACAAATCTTACAACATTTCAAAAAGTAAATTATTCCTTAAAAAATCTAAAAGGACTAGAAATTTTGAACATGGCAAGAAGTATTGTCCGTCTCTTTAAGTTTTGCTAAATCCTGGCTGGAGATACCCCTACTCGTGAGAAGATATTATAGTGATCATAATGTACAATTGTGTGGGTTACTGCAACTGATTTTGTATATGGTTTGTTTATCAATAATCTGCTGTTTAGTGTGACCGAATATGCGGATATGCGATTGAATTGAAGGTCAAATATTCAAATAGTGAATTATTCGAATTGATTCAGCCCTTTCAAGCTGATAGAGTGAATTGCAACAAGATCATTCCTTTGTCATCATTGGCCAGTCTGATACTGTGGACTGATCTTGTGACTGGTCTCCTTGTGAGTGGCCTCGTGGCCTCATGTCCGGTCTTGTGAACGGTGTTACGTCTGGTCTGGTGAAACGTCTCTTGTCTGGTTTTGTGATAACATTGACTTGTGAATGTTTTTGTGAATAGTCTTTTGCCCAGTCTTGTGACCGGTCTCGTGAGTGGACTTGTGTCTGGTCTTTTGACTGGACTTCTGTCTTGATGAACTGTGACTGATCCTGTCACTAGTCTTTTGTCTGGTCTTGTGAATGGACTTCTATCTTGTCTTGTGACTGGTCTTGTGTTCTTGTGACTGGTCTCATGACTGGATTTCTGTCTTGTGACTGGTCATGTGACTGGTCTTCTGTCTGGTCTTGTGAACGGACTTCTGTCTTGTCTTGTGAACAGACTTCTGTCTTGTCTTGTGTCTGGTTGCATGGTCTTGGCCACAACACTGAAAACGTTTTTGAAAGGGAACCACACATTTTTAACAGAACAACCACAGATGCAAATAGAACATAAATGTGATACTCTGCTCACACTGCATTGACTGCTTGTCTGTTTGGCCATCCAATCAGGGCCCCCGAAACTGCACCGAGTGCCTGCACGTGAAAGACGGTCCCTTCTGTCGGAAAGAGTGCCCCATCTCCAAGTACCCTGATGAGGACGGGGTCTGCCAACCCTGCCACCGCAACTGCGTGATGGAAAAAGGGTAAGTGTTGCACGACCTCCAGGGTATCACTGGTCCTACTTACTGAGAGAAAAGGTCCGTGGAGGTGATGTTATACAAAGAATGAGTGTTTTACATTCTTGCAATGGTAAGTATAAGTCCGAAGCGCCACCCCACTGGCAATATCAGACCGGTTTCTGTCCCTAACATTATTTTCTCTTGCTTACTGGGAATGAGATAGAAATGGGGCAGGAATCAGTCAAGTGAATGAAATGAAGTTCTTTTCAATAGGTAACCTCGATGACATGTGATCAGTGATCCACCAATCAGATGACAGGGGATTTATGCAGGTATTGTATAATATAATATTGGCTGTGAAGTCAGTGTCGTCAGGTGCTTTTTTGAGTGCCAAGTTAGCTAAATGTTGAACTGGTTATTAGATGTGACAGAGGCGAAGAGTATGGACATTGGATGGTAGATGGACAAAGGTAGGATTACAACATGACTTGATGACTGTTTTAGACCATCGTGGTTTTTGTTTCAATGAGAAAAGTACTCATTGGGAACTGTTGACACCGCTGTGGTTGTCTGAAGTCACCAATTTCTTTTGTAATCTTAGCTTTGCCGTTTGCTGTCCAGTGTCCATGTCCTTCAGTTTTGTAAACACCTAACCAGTTCAGTGTTTGGCTGTATAATTGGTAGACAAAAAGTACCCCCAAAACTGGAACTACAACATGGAGTGAAGCACAGCAGAGGCCAGCAGTGAGTGATAACTCATCACGCGATCAAGGTTTGTGGCCCTATTTTGGGCCTAACATATTTTTTGCACCTTGCTTTTTTTTTTTTGCTAAAAACAGTGTTATCGGTCCTTGGGATTTTTATAGACAGTGAACAGACAAGACAACTTTTTATTGGTATTGTAAAATCATTGCTGTCAGTTCCAAGGCTTTAATTTCATCGGCATTTTCTGACTTTCGGTGAGCATTCTTCTCTGTCTTTATAAAATTGTGCAGTTGCACTGGACCGGGTAACGCACTGGGACAAGGGGGCTGTGTTGCTTGTCATCAGGCACTGATCGATCAAAATGGCGTTACAGTGGTAAGCCGAGACTGGTAGAAGTTTGGTGTCAGAAGACATAGAAGGAAAGAGGACTTTTTTCTTAAGTTATGTGGCATAACTTCAGAGATTTTGTAGAAATTCTCCAAAGCTGTGCTGAGTAACTTTTCTGAAGTTATGTAGGGTACTGAAGCATTTTGCTTATTGTAATAATATCAATTATCTGGTTTGGAAATGAGTTTTAAAATGATTTTGTGGGAAATGTCCTTTGAAAACTGGGATTGGATGCAGGATCTGTGGTTTTCCCAAACTTAATTACTGTCGACTCTCGATAATATGAGCTCAGGTGAGACGAGACTCCGGTTAAGACGAGTATATTTGCCGGTCACGACTGAATTATGCACATTCCTATGAGGACAAAAATTCATAAAACGAGCTCGCGTGTTACGAGATTCCGTTCAAGACGAGCATTTTGGGGGCCACACCTGCTTGCAACATGATGTACGCTTAACGATGCGGTCAATCGGTTACACATGCGACAAGCTGAACCCAGGACTTCCTGCTTACTACTGCAAATGTCTTAACCTCGTTGACCACCGAGTATGCCGGGTTTGAATGGTTGGCTCAAATCTAGTGCCGTAGTGGGGACCACTAAAGGGCAAAGCCTGGTGTAAAAGTGCCAGAATTTATATCCGTTGATTAATTTTTTGACCTAGCTGGAGTGCATGCCAAACGGTGCACCATGTAGCAATGATTCCTTCTCCTTCCGCGTCGGGGAATCCAACATTTTGCGACTCCTTGGCTATTCTGTGAGTATGGATTAACAGACCATCTTCTTCCTACAAAAGGCTTATAATGCTGTTGAATAGAGTGTGGAGAGTCAAAGGTCAATGGAGAGTGTGGGCTCCCCCCCTCCCCCGTAACACAGAAAAAGCATGTTTCAATTCATTTCAATTTTACAATTCAATTATGGCCTGGGGAAAAACACTTAAACAACATTTTCATAAAAAATCATTCTGAAAATAGTGCAAACTTATCGTAATATATCACATACAGGCAGATAGTGCAGAAAGTAGGAAACAGGAACGATTCAACAAAGGTGGGCAGCGTAGACCAAAATAGATAATTACACACAGTAAAATCACACTTTGACACCTGGCCACAATGTCCGGGGGGGTGTCGGCTGTGTCATGTGGTCATGGACTAGGTTTTTTTTTATGTATGACATGAGTAATGCTCATCCGAAAGGACGCAACGATGCTGAGCCAAGAAAAAGGCACTTTTTGGTGGAGTCCAAAAAACTTTCCAAGCGTGAACTGTACAGATTGACGTCTTTGTCCATGAAGAGACATTCTTTCGGCAGAGCTCGGGCTCAAAAAAAGCATACCTGACACCATTTAGGTACACAGGATTTGATTGAATAGTTATTGCCAAAAGTGGATGCCAGACATGCCACATAATGAATTGGCTTTGCATACAAGATCAAATACCAAGTCAAGTCAAACGAGATGGGATGGGAAACTTTAGACAGCTGTGTTGGTGAAATTTGAGCAAGGGTGTTTTGTTGAGACCAGCCCACCACTCAAGTGAAATTAACGACTGAAATTACTGTTTAAGTGGTCAAAAACACCACCGCTGATGTATGGTACTGACTGGATAGCACATGGAGATCAAGGGTCGGATTCCACAAGGTGCCACCTTCTCAGACCCAAATTTGAGTGTGCCTACTCAACTCTCACCAGGAGACTGTAGTGGCCTGTTGTGTCTGACTCTTCAAAGGCTGTTCGTTTGCACTCCGTTTATTTGTATTTACACCGTTGGAGGTATTCAAATAAACATTTTTACATCCGTAACTTGCGAACTGTTTAGCTGTCATTCATTACTATTTGACAACTTGGAAAATTAAAACTGGTATTGCGTGCTCTGCTGCAAGGAATGCAGTGGCAGCCAACTCTTGAGCCATATTTGTGATAGGATGAATGCCATCCAGTCAGTATATATTGAGCAGTGCATGAACCCCATGCATTTGTCCCAATTCAACGTGCGCCCTCTCTGTAAAAGGAGAGATGGCTAACTGTGAAGGTTTTAAACCAGGCTTGTGCATGTGCCCAGTGCAGACCGTACAGTCATAACAGAAACTGGTTTGCCCGAGCCAAACACACTCAAACCTGTCCGTGCATGCACGAGAAAGTGCCCACTAAATACGACTGTCATTGCTACGTAAAAACATGCCCTCTCATTCCCCACTGGGAATGGATTGCCAGGAGCTGATGCGTTATTCTACTTTCCTTCAGGATGGACAGCTCTGTCAGATGTGCGACCACAACTGCCTGGGTTGCTATGGGGCAGGCCCCTCCAGCTGCCGGATATGCAAGAAGTACAAACGGGAGCAGGAGTGCGCGGACGAGTGCTTCGCCCATCAGTTCCCCAACCTGGACAACATTTGTCAGAACTGCCACCGCGAGTGTCGCACCTGCTCCGGGGGGAGTTCCCCCTATGACTGCATCCGCTGTCGGCACTTTGAGGTGCTGGAAAGTGAGAATGTAGGTGCTGTCTCTCATTGTGTGAATTAGGATTGATGGAGTGGTTTAGTGTACTTCTTTTAACCTGCTCAATCACTTTTATTTCCACTCATAAATTCCTTCTTCTTGGGAAAGTCAAATCAAAGTCAAAAATTGATATTTTCCAGTGATTAAAATTCTTATTCGTAAAACACCTTACTTATGAAAAATGCAAATCAGATATAATGTAACATTTTTCCACAGATTTTGTTTATCAGTTTTTACCACGGTGTTTTATAAAACACCCTTCTTACCAAAGAAACACTCTAGCCGTAACCGCAGTATGTTCCATACGAGTCAAACTGATATCTCCCTTTTAATGGACAGTGGTGCACACTGCGCTTACCACGTGATGTTGTGGCAAACTCATCATCACCCGATTAAAGTGAACTTTAATGTAACCCATTGGTTGAATTGCATTCAACTATATGACAGTACTTGCGTCATACTCCCAGTCATGTATGAGAGAGTTCATGAAAGATGAGTCAACGTTTCCTTTCAAACTGGAAGTATTTCAAACAAGTTGGTAGTGCCATCAGCTGTTCAACCCGCAATAAAAATTTTTTGAGTTGAGCCTTTAGGAGTTTTTAGAGTTAAACTTCACTGTCATTTTGCAAATCAAACTTACCGTTCTTGTGCAAATGTGCATTTTTCTGAGACAAATCAGCCAAAAATGTGTAATTTTTTCTGTTGGGGTGCTCAGTGCAAGCGGACTGGCACGCATGTAGCCTTGAACTTCACATGACCGCAACTACAAAATCATACGTCTGATTGAATTCAAACTTCTCATTTGTAATCATATTAGCAGTGTTTCAAAGCCAAGTTTCAAAACAGTTGATTATGGCACAGCCTAGTTCTGGGGGGGGGGTTGAAATCTGCTTGATCTAGAAGTTGTGATGTACACAATTAAGAAATTTTCTGAAATTTTTTCCCAGCAATGTACTTCGATTTTTGCTAAATTTTTGGCTCCGTGATTTCATATTCAGACAACTTTATTCAAGTTAGGATTGTCTGTCCGATTTCCAGCAAGACCTTGCTGAGCCTATTGATTGTAAAATGTACTTTCTTTAATTTATGTATTTTGTCGCGTTCATCAGTCATTCCACTGTTCCTAAAAATAACATAAAATAGAGCACATTTATAAATTTGTGTTATGATAAAGTTTCGACCCTATGACAACCCTATTAAAGATACATGTCTCAAGAGTAGCCAGTGACTAAGAATTTTGTTGTCACCAACAGACCTACTGTGCCAAGGAGTGTCCACCCGACTACCCCTATGATGACCGCAAGTCCCATTGCGTGGCCAGCTGCCCAGAGAACCAGTATGTGAACAAGGCGACCAATGTCTGCATGGCCTGCCACCAGCAGTGCCTGGGCGGCTGCTTCAATGACCAGCGCAGCTCCTGCTTCCAGTGTCGCAACGTCAGGCATGGCCCAGACTGCCTGGAGAAGTGCCCCCCTGGCTACATGAACAACAGTGGCATATGCATTGTAGACCCCTCTGGCGTGGTTCCCCATATGCCATAGGTGAATGGCGCATAATTTGTAAAAGATTTCTTCCCTTTTCTCTTGTCCAGTTTCTTGGAGTTATTCACCCTTTCAACTCTTTTACATGTACATGTTAAGGGGAAAGCAGTCTTGTGGTTGGGGTTTGTAGCTTCCGATCATATGGTCGGAGGTTCGAATCCCAACTGCTTACATGTTGTAAGTTTGGTCAAGCCACTTTACCCCTATGTGCCTCTCCCCACTCAGGATTAAAGGGGTGCATGTGAGGGCAGAGATGGTCATTATGCTCAGCATTTTGCACAAAATGACAACATTGGGCTAGTATGCTCCCTACAGTCCCTAGGGAGCTGAAATTGTCTCAAGAATGTTCAGATAATGTGAGCCCAGTCAGCAGGGATAATATATCAGTGCCTTTGAATGATGCTGATTCATTTTGGGGCATACACTGAGTATACATTGTTAAGTACACGTCGAGCAGGGCAAAATCCAAAATTAATTTACATCTCCCTGGTGCAAATCCATCTTTGAAATAGTTGTTTGCAGTACCCACTGCTACATCCAATTCGAACCAGCCAGCCGACACCGGCAAGCTTGGTGATTGAGTGGTTAAGACTCTGCACTAGTAAACAGGAGATCGTGGGTTCGAGTCTTACCTGAGTACACTTGTAGATTTTTTTCACAAGCCTGAGTATACAATGCTATATTATTAAGTTAGGTTTGGTTCTGCTTTATCCCTCCAGATCCTTGAGAATCCATCAGGAAGTTTTTGAGGTTTTGCAAGAATGAAGGAAATTTTGTGGTGAAGCAGTTACTAGCAACTAGATCTTAAAGATGCTTGTCCAACAATTGTGCCTTGCTACGTTACACAGGTTGTGAAAAGCTCCATTTACCCTAATTCTAAAGGCATGCCGCAAATCACATAGAATGGTCAGTGCTATGAAGAATCTAACTACATGCTTGCAGTAGAATCGTATATCTGTATTAGCTGAAACGTTATCAATTGTAAAGATGGAGATTTAGCCAGACATTTACATCAAAGAGATATGAGATTTTATTCATGAAATTTTGTGAAACCAAATTGCTGGTTTGCTCTTCAATACGTATTGAGCATTTGGCGTTAGGGGCCAAAATGGAATTTTTTCACCCTACAGTTCAGTCATTTTTCAAAAGTGTCAAACCTTTGTACCTCGCAAGACTTTTAGAAGAATTTTAAACTAAAGTTCATTGAAATGTAAACTTTTTACTATGATTATTCAGAATTTGATAGAAGGGAAAGTGAATTAATTTCACTGTAAAAGCACTTTTGGCCTACACAAGATACCAGGTGAATTGCTTAATTAACTGTTGGGCATAGAGATCATAACACTTGAACCATAAGTGATAGTACAAATGACATTTTCTTCAACCGTTGGGTAAAATGAGACAAGTTTGCCCATGTTGTAGGAAATTACACAGTTGGGTAGTTTGTTTGCCCAACAATCAGGCGATTCACCAGGTACCCGGCATTGGGCCCAAAAACATGCCCATCATTTTGACAGTGTTTGTTTTCTGTGAACTCAGTAAGCAGTGCTGTCTCATCAGCTTAAAAATCTGATCATTAGTGTGGCATAGGCCCTTTGTCTAAGAAAAGTATTTACTTGTCATTCCTCTATGTCATTGATTCGTAAATTTGTTATAATAATGGTCATTTGTTTACTTGATTTTTGAATTTTTATTTTCAAATCGAAAAACAAATGACGGACACAAACAGACCGTCCGGCCTTGCAAACCCCAAAAGCGAAAAGATAGCAGGAGGGGGAGCCTTTTACATGTTGGCAATGAAGGTATATCTTGCTCACAACCGCAAGCTTGCATGCCCCTTAACCTTGCATCAAACGGAAAGTTTTGTTCTCCATCTGGGCCGACGGAAGGCTTAAAATAATCTCAACATAATGCATCTCGATTGTGTGTCTTAACACAAAGATGGGGATGGTCCAATGGCAGGATGGCTGGGTGACCACTGCTACCATGATTGTGCATCGATGCCGGGGCTACCCAAGTGGGTGTTCATCGTCTGTGCTCATGAATGACATGAGAAGAGAGATAACTGGAACACGTTGTGATAATCATGTACATGTTTATCAGTTAATGTTCTTGTATGAAGCATGCCAAGGAGTTTTATTGTATCACTGTAAATTTATCAGTGTTGAACGACATTCAAAACACAGAATTTTCATGATTTGAGACGATCAGTTTGGAAAGCAATCATGCTATCGAAAGGAAAGGTACATTGTTTTTTCAAACTTTCGCATGTAATCTGAAATGATCAAGCTCACAGGGCACTAATGAAGTAAGCGCTCTGAAATATGTTTAAAGTTATAACTTCAGCTGCAATTGGTCCATGTACGAGTGTCATAATGTCTCAGTTCAAAAGCCTCTTCACAGGACTTGGGAGCTTTGATCTTTTATGCCAGGCCGCGAAAGCATGGAGCGTTGCTTCTTTGGGTTAATCATCCTTGTACGGCATGTGTTTTGAATTTCAAAGTGATATATTCTCATTTTCGTGTGAAAGCTCTTGGCAGAGTGTGCATTGTGCATTTCAAACCGACAAATTTGCAGATAATTCTCAATTTGTAAGATCCCATCAATGTACAAAACAACTCGGAACAAACGAAAGGTGAGTGATCTTTTATTGGTGCGAATCCAAGAAGGAAAAGAGGACTGCTGTAAGGACAATCCACAAACATGCTCAGATGATTCTAAGTCCTGCTAAATAAATGCTATAATTAGTTATCTCTGCTATATGATGCTGCAGCTGAGTAGTATTTTTGTTTTCAGCGAATCAATACAGTTTGCGACATTTATTCAGTGTTGTGTGCAACTTTGTAAGTCATATCTTAATTCAATAAACTCGCCTGCAAAAATTGATTCCGTAGTTGTGCCGACATCAATAGTTGGTCTTCCAGTTGAATAAGTGAGTCAAAGCTGGGAACAAATGTATGGCGGTAACAAGAAATTAAATCGTTCACCAATGACATTTGGTGGCATCATAATGTATGGAAATAGAGCAACATGAAAAAACAGCAATAAAAGTGACAATAGCGCCAGAAAAATTACCAATGACAGTAACGACACCAGCAGCGAAATCAGTGACTACAGTAAAAAAGCAACTATGGTGACTGTGAAAATTAAAGGGATTATGTAATTTTCTTCACCTCTTGAATGCACACCTTTTGTGTTTCATTTAGCCTTATTTACACTTTTTGTATTGCTTTTTATCATGTATTTAGGTCCTTTGGGATTTTTATTTATGCTAATACAACTTCACATATGAGCAAAATTGTAGGGCACTGTATTTCATTGATCTGTACACAAAAACTGCTGGAATTTTTATAATTTGCTGTTTGGAAAATTTCATTCCTTAGGCTTTTTTGGGGTTTCAAAGATATTTGGCAATGAGCCAACAACCTTTAGTCAAATGTTTTCATGGAGCAAAATTGGGGTTCAACATTTGTGCATAAAACAGTAAATTAAATGCCTTCCCTGATTTACTTCACAGCGACAGCGCCCTCACTCCGCTGGAAAAGTTTGGGCGTGTAATGCTTGGGAGCTTGGAATTTGCACAGTTGCAAAATACATGTAGGATGAAAAGAGTAACTGGTGGTTATAATCCTCCCTTTTGAAAGGTTTTGCTATCACTGATGAAATAGACTTATGGAAGAGGTCTTACGCACGGCATTGTTACTTGTTACTGGTCCATTAAACCCAACCCCATTGTTTTCTGACCAACCACAGCAATGAGTTAAAGTCCAACATGCGTACACGCGCGCGTATTATGAAGTGCGCGCCTGGAACCCGCGGTGTGGCATTGGAGAAGAGCACGTGCTAAGTATTCACGTGTACAGTGGACGGAGCTTACTGGATAGGTTATTGGTTCAAAGTCCGAATATTCCCAGTGACTACCAGGGCCAGAAACCGACTTCAAACTTTGTGGAAAGCTTGCTCGGGCAAACACTTCCATTGTGTGCATTTTTTGTATATTTTCCTCCACTGAAGTGTTGCCAGAGGTACCTTTAAGTTATTTACTTTTACATCATTGCCTGGTTTGTACATTTACAAAAACCTACGCAGCGTCAAAAGTGCAAAATGTTTCAAATTCGGAAGAACTAATGAATTAACAATTGTAGGTGACTAAAGTAGGCCTATATTATACCGGTAAAAGGAAAAAGAAATCAACGCATCGATCGTTAATTTCCCAAGGACAGTGTATACTTGAGTAACAACTTGTTAGAGAAACTACCCGCGGTGCTGTAATTTCGAAATTCTACTCGCCATGGCCGAAGATGACAAAGGAAATATTCAACCATGGGCGTTGCGACGGGCGGTGGCGTAACTACTGGGAACAGTGGCGTATCCAGCGGGGGGGGGGGGCTCCCCCTCCACGGAAATTTTTACGGATCTTTTGGTTTGTTTGTTTTAATAATGGGTGAGTAGGAAAGAAAGTAGGGCCTCTTCGGTATATTTATTTATCAAAATAGAACCAAAATCCCAAGAAAACGACATCAAATATAAGCAAGGATGTCGGGACAGGACAGTGAGTAAGGCTTTTTATTTTTTTTCTCCACAACATCCTGTCGAATGAGCCCGAAGACGCATTCGCTGTTGGATTCCCCCCCGACCCGGAAGCTGGATACGCCGCTGACGGCGTCCCC